GTATTTTTTGCTGCAGGAGTTGCTGGATTAGTCGTTACTGTTCTTTTAAAACCAAGAAGATTTAGATTTGATCCAAATACAACATTATAATTCTAAAGACATTCACCAATTTATATTGGATTTGGATCTATTTTAGTATTTGCAGGATGGTTATTCTATAATGGAGGTATTGTTGCTTAAGGAGCTAATGCTAAATACACTTAAGGATTAGTTGCTGTCAATACTTTGATTGCTGGTGCAACTGGTGGATTCTTTGCTTTTATTATTAGATATTTCTAATATGAAGTTACAAGTTTAGTTGCTTTATCTAGAGGAATTGTTAGTGGTTTAGTAGCTGTTAGTGCTGCTACTGATGATATGAAACCATGGACTGCATTCATTTATGGTCTTTTAGCTGCTGTCTTTTATAGTGTATTGGCTAAAATCATACCTAAAATTCATATTGATGATCCTGTTGAAGTTGTTCCTGTATTTTTGGTATTATTTTTCATTTATTTTAGGGTAATGGATTCTTAGGTATCTTTTTATCAGCATTCTTTGATACTAAAGCTGGTGTTTTCTATGGATTTGGTGCTAAATTATTAGGAATGTAATTATTAGGATTATTGATCATATTTGTATGGGTTGCTTTCTTTGTTTTAATTACATTACTTATTTTAAAGGGATTTGGAATACTTAGAATTGATGTTGAAACTGAAAATATTGGTATTGATAAAGCACATTGTAATTTTAATTCATTTATTTCTTAGGCTTGGGTGAAGCCATCGTTTTTGCTAACTAAGTTGATGAAGTTCCTCTTGTTTAAAAAACTGAGTTGGTTCAATTAGGAAACAGCCAAATTGGATCAGGATTTAGACCTGGATTTAGATGATATTAAAATCATTCATATATATGAGCAGTTTTTATCAAAAACCTCTAAATTAATTTTTGATATCTTATTAAGTATATTTATATCTTAAAACAACAACTCCATAAATATTTATGTATAATTAAAGAATTTGGAACAAAGTAGACGAAAACTATTCAAATTGTACTAATTTATTGCGTCTAAAGCTTTTAAAATCAGGCAAGAGTTCACATTTTGTTTATGTACAATGTACTGATACACACTTACTGCTATTTTAAGTATGAAAAACTTTTATAAATTAAGGATGCCGATTAAAGGAAACCTTACAAATAATTAACAATAAATTTTGAATATAAGTTTCAGGTTTTAAGAACTTCACCTTTATTAATAAACCCGTCGCTTTCTGAAAAAAAAGGTGAAAATATTGTATCTCTGGGAGAAATAATTGCTATAAGATTTCTTCGTGAAAATGTTGATAAATGGAGTGAATTTAGGGGTTCAGTGAGTGATTTGGAATAATTAAGACAGTTTCTGGGAAAGAAAATGAATTAGACAGGATTCCATTAATATTTCAAAGTACACAAGAAAATAGGGAAGGGAAGTTTTGCATCTGTGTATTTAGCTTAGAGAATAGAAGATGGAACAAAAATGGCTGTAAAGGCATTTTGTAAAAATGCAATTTATAAAGAAGAGAATGGAAGGGTAAGTATAAAAATAAGCATGTTAGGAAGGATTAATTAATGAAATTCAAATAATGAGAATTCTAGATCATCCAAACTTAATGAAGTTGTATGAAGTTTATGAAACTTAAAATTCGATATATATGTGTTTAGAATTACTTGAGGGAGATTAACTATATGGATTATTCAAAATGAAAAGAACATTTAATGCCTAACAGATTCATTCTATATTAAAAGGTTTATTAGAAGGATTGAATTATATTCATAGTATGGGAATAATGCATCGAGATCTTAAACTAGAAAATATTTTATTCAAAGAACCAGAGTATGATTTATATTTCTAAAGATTAGAAATTATGATTCCGTAGTAATAGCTGATTTTGGATTGGCAACTAGGATAGATTAGAAACCATTTCTATATACAAAATGTGGAACTCCTGGATTTGTCGCTCCAGAAGTTATAAATTTGAAAGATGATTAATTTTCTTATGGATCTGTTTGTGACATGTATTCTTTAGGAGTGATCTTATATATCTTGATTACAGGATAGCCAGTATTCAAAGGAAAGAGTTATAATACTATTGTAAGGAGGAATCGAGAAGCCATTGTGGATTTTTAAAAAGAAAAACTTAATTAAGTTTCAGATAATTAGAAATGTTTATTGATTAAAATGCTTTAGGCTGATCCTGAATTTAGAATTACTTCTAAATAGGCTTTAAAACATGAATATTTTTGTGAAAATTATGAAGAAGAGTTTGCTTCAATGTATACAGATGATGATCCACATTTGGGTGAAATGCTTATCAAATTAAATGCAGAATATATTCGATTAGATATGGACAAATTAAAAAGATCTAATGATGAAAATGATATTTGCAAGACTGAAGATCTAAAAGTTGATTAGAGTTAAGAAAAGAATGATTTACTCAAAATTATCATGAGAACTCCTGTCATTACTGGAAGAACCAGATCTATTGATAGTATTTTTCTATTTTATATTTAGATTCTCCTCTTGTTGGATTTCAATCTCCAAATCAAGACATTCATTCACCTCATATCTAATAAATATAGGCTAAATGGATCAAACCTTTTGTTTTATAACAGTGACAAAAATCACATTTATATTTGAATTTAGATTGTACTAATATTCATTATATAAAAATATTAATTATTTTCTCTTAAAAAAAAGTCATGCAAAACATCTTATCTTAATAATAACAATTTTTTGATTTGTTAGACAAATAAGTAGATGCCTATAAAACACTACTTGATTAGTTGAGTTCAAGTTAAGATAAATTCAACAATTTACTTTCAGATTATTTGCTCAAATTTCAAACCATCAATAATAAACTAGTCTAAGGTAGGCAAGATTTTTCCTGCTCTTAAATTCAAATCAAAAGAAATGATGAGCTTTATACTCATTCTTAATTACATATTTAATTCAATTTAAGATCTGTAACTCTATTTTTTATTATTTATTAGTTACTGGAGAAACAATATAAATACAAACTTACGTTAGCAGATGCCCTTGAAACTCCACTTTATCGAGATCGTATTTTCTAACTGAGAGTTGAATTGAAAAATAAGAGTGGAGATCTTGTTAAAAATCCAAATAAAATTGAACTTGTTGTTGCAATCTATTCATAAGAATAATATCCAAAAGAAATCAAAGTTAATAATAAAGGAGAATAAATATTGAAAGGTCATTTATGTGTACCTCTAATCAAAGGAACTGCATTCTTTACAAGAGTCTAAATAAGGGAAGTATCTTCCCATTATCAAAATGGATCCATTATTTTAGCAATTCTACCTTAATTCAAAACAAATGATGAAACCATTAATAGTAGAGACATTCAACCATTAATTGTCGAGAATATTAAAGTTAAAGCTAAAAAATTTTCAGAAAGACACATTCCTGTATATGTAAATTAATGATTAATAATAAAATGTTTGGGAAAATCATAATTTCTACAATTATTATTGTAATTCTATCTTCTTTTGTCTTTATCTACCAAAGTATCCCATATTATCAAGGAGAATGGTCATCTAAACATATAAAAAATGATGTGAAGTAAAATTAACAATAAATTACGCTAGTATTTATCGAGATAATGCTTATGGTATACCTCATATTCATGCAAAAACATTAAAAGAAGGATATTATGGATTAGGATTTGTACATGCTTAAGATCGATTATGGTAATTACATCTAAGAAGGTAAACTTAAGTATTAAGTTATTTAGAATGTCATCATAAGGCAGATTAAGCGAAATCTTTGGATTTCGCTAAGAAATTCTCAATATAGATAAATATATAAGAAATTTAGGATATCTTGAATCATGTAAAAGAATAGTTGAGAAACTCAGCGAAAATGCTAGAGTTCATTTGCAATCTTATGCAGATGGAATAAATGATGGTGTAAAATCATTAAAAATGCTGCCTATAGAATTTAAAATTTTGGGAGTATAATTTTAAGATTGGAAGATATTTGACACTATTGCATTCATCAAATTAATTTCTTTATTGAATGTTCATGATATGTTTCATGAATTTATGAGAACAAAGTTTGATGAATTATATGGTAGAGAACTAGCAAACATCTTAGGATCTGTTGGACCTCATAATTAATATGATTCAGGTGTTACAGAAATTTAAGAAAAAGAATGGATTTAATTTATGTAAACCCATAATGTTTCATACAATAAAAAATTTGAATAGAATTCTACAAAAAGTGTAAATGAAAAAATAACAAAATACAATTTAACAGAAATTTTGTAATCAATACCAGAATATTATTCTAATTATATATTCCCAACTCTAAAGGCATCTAATGCTTGGGTTATTAGTGGGAATCATACAAAAAGTGGAAAACCTCATTTAGCAAATGATCCTCATTTAGAAAATAATATTCCATCTTAATGGTATCAAGCAGAAATTTATTATCAGATGGAAAATTAAGAATATAATTTTATAATAGGAGGAACACTTCCTGGATTACCATTTAGTTTAAGTGGAAGAAGCCAATACTTAGGTTGGGGTTTGACTACTTTAAATTCTGATGGAGGAGACATTTATGAAGAAGAGATTCTTTAAAAAGATAATGAAAATTTATTATACAAATTTAATAATGACTGGATTCCTTGTAAAAAAACTATAGAGATCATAAAAATAAAAGATTAAGAAGATTAATCTATAACAATATTTCATACCCATCATGGTCCAATTATGTAATATTATATTGAGAACAATAAATTAAGAAATCATAATGGTTATTTTTATTCATTATAATCTATAATTCATATAGATGATTATGAATCATTTGATGGTTTTATAATGTTTGCATAAGGAAAGGATTTAAAGTAGAGTATGGAACATTTGAAACATATCTGTTATCCTAATAATGGAATGGTATTCATAAGTCATGATAATCATATTGGTTATTTAACAACAGGAAGATTAGTTATAAAAGAGGGACATCCAGATGATAATGGATATGTTAAGAAAAACAATAAAGAATGGGTTAGATATGTACCATATAAAGAAATACCTATGATTATTGATCCTGAAAAAGGATATATCGTCGTGGCAAATAATAAATTTATACCAGATAATGAATTAAGTTGGAATACATAACCAACAAGCAGAGGAAGGAGAATAAATGATTTAATTACTTAAATGATTAATTAAGGGTAGAAATTTTCTATTTCAGATCATATCAAATTATAATCAGATACATATGATAGTTATGTTTGTAACACAAAATATGAATTAATTTAATTGCTCAAAAAATATGATAAAAAGAGAGAATTAATTAACGAAATTGAAATATTAGAAAACTGGACATGTAAATGGGATTAGGAATCTTCAGGTGCTTTATTATATGGAGTATTCGAGTATATTTATTCATTCAAATTTCATTCTTAATTAGATGAAGCAGTCATAAAATAGTGGAACAATTTTTATATGTTTGATTCTTTTCATTTCAAAAATCTTATTGATATGAATAATGCATAACCAAATGATTAAATTCTTAATTAGCCATATTGCAATGGTTTTGCTCAAGATAAATGTGCTTTAAATTTAGTTGAATCATTAAAAGAAGCAAAATAATTTATAAATGAAAGATTTGGTAATTAAACAATAGATTGGAAATGGGGATAATTACACAATCAAGTTTTTACTCATTCATTTTCTAAAACACCTTTTGCTTTTATTTTTGAAAGAAGAATTCCCTATTCATCAAATAGAAGATCGGTGTCAGCTTCATCATATCATTTAGATGGATCTTTTAATGGTAAAACAGGATCTAATTACAAATAAATTATATCAATGGATTCAGAAGAATCAAATTTCTTCGTAATTGATACAGGAATAAGTGGAAACCCATTTAGTAAATTGTATACAAATTAAATGGATATCTGGAAATAAAATAAATATGTAAAAATGGAATTTGGTAATAGAACCAATTATGATTTATTATATGTTATACATCCAGTTTGAGTAAATATTGATAAATATTTTGAATGGTAATAATATATATTAATATTACTTCACTCTTTTTTCTCAACTTATTGTGCTGCTTGTCTTTCAGCCTTTTTTTCAGCTTTCTTTTTTTCAGCTTCTAATTTTTTCTATTATTTTTTGCTTTCAGGATTTGGTTATTCCTATTACTTTTATTATTTTGGTTATTCTTATTATATTTCCTATTATTATTCATTCTTTTATTAATCAGCTGTTCCAGTTTAAATTGATTTCAAGTTTAATCCGGTTTAGATGCTAGCTGCTTTAGTTTTACCATCTGGAATATAAATTAACTCAAATTTATCTCCAACAATTTTATCAATTCTGAAAAATCCTCTTCTCTCAAATTATAATACAGATCCTAAAAAATTATAAATAAGTATTATTACCAACTTAGAGTGTTTTAATTCCAGCATCAGCAAAAGCTTCAGTGACACATTTGCTATTTGGATTATAATAATCTTCAAATTGATGGCCTTCTTCAATTGTTTTAACCTTAATAAGATGATCATATTCAACCAAATCTACATTGACAATAGGAGTGTCTTTAGCTAACCATGTATATTTATTGGTTGTTTTGAAATCCTTATCATCAGGTAAATTTTCACCAGTTAATAAGATTTATCCATCAACTTCTTTTTTCTCTGTAATTTTAACATTTCCCCATTTCATTAATGTTATTTTTTCATCTGCTTTAATATCTTTAGCATCCTAGGCTTCTAGGTATAATTGACCACTTCTAAAAAGAGGTCTTGTACCTAAATCATTATTTTTAGGATGTTATGGTACTGTAACAACATTAAGACCTTAATCTCCAAAATTTGAAATAGTCAATATTGCAATACCTTCTTTTCCTATTGCTGTGTATCTTGGAGCAATAGGATCAATCTTTGTAAAATTGATTGCCCAAAGCTTATCCCAAGTTTATAAATTGGCGTTTTTAGATGGTCCTTATTCTAACATAAAATCATGTAATGTTTCAATTGTAATTCCTCTTCTTAGAATTCCTCTAAGAGTTGGAAAACGAGGATCTTACCATCCTTCTACAACCTTTTTATCTACAAATTCCTAAAGTTTCCTTTTACTTAAACAAGTATTAACAAAATTTAATCTTGAGAATTCATAAATTTCAACTGGTCTTAATTCTAAAGCTTTTTAAACCCATTAATATTATTCTATTCTATCTGAATATTCATTAGTTCTCATAGCATGAGTAACTCCTTCAACACTATCTAAAATTGGACATATAAAATCATAGGTTGGATAAGCCTTATACTTAGTACCTGTTCTATGATGTGGTGTTTAATTTGTTCTATACATAACTGGATCTCTCATACACTTATTTAATGCTTTCATATCTATCTTTGCTCTCAAGCAATAATCACAATATTATCCTTATAACATTTTTTCAAATATCTCTAAATTCTCTTCAACACTTTTGTTTCTATTAACACTTTCTATACCATCAAATCTTTCCTTCTTCATTTACTCTTTATCTGTATTATCGCAATAAGCTAATCCTTTTTAAATTAAGAATCTTGCTTTCTCTTCAGCCAAATCAAAGTAATCACTTGAATGTGACAAGTTTGCCCATTCAATTTAAAGTGTCTTCAAATCTTCCAATATAGCATCCTGATATTCAGCTTTTTCTTTTGATGGATTTGTATCATCAAAACGTACTAACATTTTACCTTCATACATTTTAGAATATCTATAATTCAACACAGATGCTTTTATGTGACCAATATGTAAATAACCAGATGGTTCAGGTGGAAATCGAGTACATACCTATCCTAATTGAAAAAATATTAAATATGTCTACCTTTGATAGCTCCCTTCAAAACGTCATATCGTGCTTATCCTTATTATTTGGCTTGTTTCATTGTAAAATTTTTAAAAATAATTTTAAATAAATTCATTATATTTCTTTCATAATTTTAACACATGTTTTAATTAATCATCTTATTAACATCACATAAGCAGCCATAATAAAACATAAACCTGATACTAATGGCGATAATCTATCCTAGATATAATATAATTGTTCAAATACTCCTATTACAGCACTTCTCCTAAAGAAACCTCTGAATCCATGTCTGTGTGAATTTATAAAATCAGGTTTCATCTATCTAATATAAGTCGATGTGCAGATGACAAGCAACAAAACCACTATCATAGTTGAAAAATTGAAAATTCCTAACTAATTATCATGGAATCACAGTACCATTTTTTCTTGAATTTCCTACTAAATAATTATTTATTATATAATAATAACACAAATACTTTCAAGTTTTGAAAAATTATCTTTCAGGATATCCAATTATAGTATAAAGATATTAGAGATAGTGAATTTGATAAAATCTTGAATTAGTTGATACAATTATAAATTTATTTCTTAATCATTAAAATTCATCTCCTCTTTTTTTGATATAATGTTTAAGCTCTTTAACATTCTCTAAACATAATGTTAATATTCTATGAATAGTTTCTCTTTCTCTTTAACTAATAAATAATAATGATTTAAATTACTTTTCCTATAATTTAAATTAATAAACTGTATCTTCCTATTCGCATTCAGTTGCTCTATCTCCTCGTTGTTTAATTTTATTATCCTATTTCTATACTGCTTCATCTCTGTCCATAGTGAGAACTTTAATTTAAGCTTCTAAAACATTGACATCTGATTCTAATTCCTCTATAATTGCATTCACATCTCTTAAATCTTGATTCAAATTTTTAAATAATCTTTGAAAATATGAATCTCTTATGTCATCCACTGATCTTAATAGACTTCTAGCAATATCAATATAATTTTCTAAATCATTGCAAGTTTCTACTAATTATCGTACTGTTTCTTCATGTTTAGAAATTTATTCTGCTTTCAATTATTCCATAACAGTAAATAATGAACTATAACCCTGTAAATGTTTAAAATCACCTTATTATAAAGATCATTGCATACCTGCTTTAAGACTTGCATAACCTAATAAATTTGTAATTTTATCAACATCGTCTTCTTATAGTTAAATAAACGCTGTCTCTCCGTTTTCATTTTCATATAAAGCAGACTCAAATATTTCTCTAACTGCAACAACAGCAGAAATGGCTGTTTAATGTTCTCTTTGATAGCGTTATATACTTACTCAAGTCTTGATTCGAAAACACATTTCTATTTTTCTCTATTTTATTAGATCTCATCTATTCTATTAATTAAGATAGATTTTTCTTTCTTTTTGTTTTAAAGTGTATTAACTTTTTTGGTTTTTTCAGGTATTTTATCATCTAAAGCTTATTACATATCCATAATGCGAGCTTTTAATAAAGCTGCATAATTATCAAAATCGCCTAGATCTTTAATGCATTTAGCAGAGAATGTTTTATGTTTTTGATCAATAGATAAGAATTCAGTTTCATATGACTATGCTTAATCTCTCAAAATTTAGAACACTCTATCTAGAGGTTCTTTACTTCTCACAGCAATTTAAACTGTATCCAAGAATGTCTTGCCTAATTAAGTTTACTCTAATTTAATAATTTCCTCTTCAAATTTAAGTTCTATATTTACACTTAGACCTAAAAGTAGAAATAATATTAGCATGTTAATCGTTTTTATTTATATAATAATGTTAATATTTATATAATTGATAGTAAGAGTACTTTCAAATGAAAAAGTGATCACATAACAAGTTGCTTTATAAATGGCATCATTGAGTTTGGTAGGAACAGACTCATCACCAGCATTTTTGGAATTTATAAGTCTTCCTCATTCGACATCTCGTATAACAATAGATAGAGCAGTGAAATGGACATTTAATGAAGACATAGTATTATCAATATCACCATTGGAATTTTATACATCTGCAGAGAAAGCTTCTTTTCATTCATTGCGAATATAAGGTAATTTCTACTATAAAAATCAACCTTAATGGATGTTATGGTGGTAAGAAAATTATTGGTAGTAGCCAGTAGATTGGAGTGATAATTCAATATCTACATGTGGAGGTATAAGTATGTTAGGTGGTTATGGAAAATTTGCAGGAGGAGAAGTCTAGAAAACATTTGTAGAATTACCTTAACATAGTAAAGTGAGGATTGTTGCAAATTATCATTTTATAGATGGTTGGGGAGGAGAAACAGGATTCTTAAGAGCTAGTATAGGAAGAATGGATGGAATGGAATATATTTGGACTGAAAAATATGACTATTCAAAAGTTAAGAATGGTATTTCTGTTTGTGGGAGTAGATATCCTGAAGGAAAATTGACATCAGTTATTGATGTTTCATTCCCACATACTAAAGATACTATAAAATTAGGATTTGGAAGTACGTTAGACAATGATCCACTTGAGAATTCATTCGGAATATCAAACTTATAGATTTATTTGATCTGATCTGATAATTAATTTATTTATTTTGTGACATTTTTCACAAATGATAATTAGAAGATGTTCAATTTCTAATTCTACATCTCAAAGATCACAATCTTAAAAGTATTTACAAAATATATTCTTATGTAGAATGTCAGAAAATGAATAATGCAATAGTAATTCTCACTTCTCGACATGCTGTAGTAATACTTCATCTGAAATTGATGAGATTGATGACCCATTAAATTATGCTTCTTTTAACGATTTTGATTCTATCCTACCACTTATGATTAATGGAGTTAAAATATAAAGAGTGACTTGGGATCTCTTTTCTGCTCCTCCAAATGTTTTTTCATAATGGAAAGCTCACTGTTTTTGGACTGTTGGATATACTTATGATATTGCAATGAAAAAAATGAAACATAGCAATAATATTAGATATCGATTAACTATTAATGCTTGGTGTTGTTTAAATAGTAAATCATGGGTTAAGAATAAATGGGATCGATTATTAGAACATGAAACTGGTCATTATCTAATTGGATGTTTATGTGCTCTAGAATTCAAAGCCAGGTTTTATTATTATTATCTATTTATAGAGCTGACAAATCCAAATTTACTAAGAATTATCGATTAGAATCCAATAAAATCTTTTAAGATACTTTCTAGGAGTATCTCTCTTTAGAAAGAAGATATGATGAAGAGACTAATCATAGTCAAAATATAAGCAAACAGAAGGAGTGGAATGAATTCATCATTAAGGAATTACAAAAATACTGATTTTATTATTATAATTAATATATCTATAAATCAATATGGGTTGCTGTGGAACCAAAGAATGTATTAATTCTTCTTTTATTTTAAGAACGCCTTAAAAATGATGTTTAAATAAATTAACCACCAGGTTAAATTAAACCATCAGAAGTAATATTGCATTCCACCATTTTAGGTTGTTGTATAACCGATTACAACTGGAACAAAAAGAGACTATAAAAAAGGGGATCTCATAGGAAAAGGAGCTTTTTCTGAAGTCTATCAAGCCTTAGATAATAAAACAGGCAAAATTTTAGCTATTAAAACTGTTAAATTACAAGGAGGGAAGGATTAAGTACAATTTATTTGAAAAATTAGATTCATAGAACCATAAATGCATTAAAAGCAGAAATCAAACTCTTAAAAAAGTTATAGCACAAAAATATTATTAAATACTATTTTACAGAAATCAGTTCTGATCAAACCTATGTTGACATAGCTTTAGAATATATTGCTTAAGGATCTCTTAGGAAGGTTATAAATAAGGTTAGACTTGATGAACCTAATGTTAGAATTTATGCAAGATAAATCTTAGAAGGAATTGAATACCTTCATTAAAATAAAGTTATACATAGAGACATTAAGGCTGCTAATATTTTAGTTGATAGTGATGGAACAATTAAATTATCAGATTTTGGAACATCTAAAGTTCTAGAGTCTGAAGAAACCTTAATATTATAAAATAAATCTTTAAAAGGAACTCCATATTGGATGGCTCCAGAAGTTTGTTAATTGAAACCTGCATCTTTTGAATCTGACATTTGGTCATTTGGAGGAGTAGTTATAGAAATGATTGGAGGTTAGCCTCCTTATGCTGACAAATATGGATCAGATATTGATGCTTATGAATTAATAAAGAAAATTGCTCAAGAGGAAAAACCTAATTATCCTTAATAAACTTCATCATTAGCTAAAAATTTTTTAGACTCTATTTTTGTTGCACCTTAACTTAGACCATCTGCAAGTAAATTACTCTAGCATCCATTTGTATAAATATTTGATCCTTAAACTGATAGTGAAGAAGTAGGATTCAAATAATCTCTTGATCCTGTTCCTTCTAAACGATCATTTGCAGGGGCTTCAAATGGACATATTTTAGACAAACCTATTAATTCAACATACATATAATAATAACAACTATAAAAACAAAGAATTGATGAATAAAGGCTCTAAAAGTATACAATTAATTTAATTAGGTAGATAGAGAGAATGGGAATTAGCACTTAAAGAAGAGCTAAGAAGAAAATAGCAATAAAAATCATGAGTATAATATTTTTCAATTTAACTCACTACTTTATTTTTAATCTCTAAGTAGAATTCTTATCTTTTATTTTGTTCTTAACAAAAGTTAGTTATAATAATTTCTGTATATTCATTTTTATGTTATGCAAAATCATTTTAAATTATGACCCATATATTCCGAACTAATTATAATTAAAATACATTTTTTAAAATTTATAAATATTTTAATTTATTATCCTGTTATAATATAATTTATCCTCAATATGTGTTTATAAATATAAATATAAGAAAAATAAGAAAATTCTAATTTTTCTAAGTTTTCCACTTCATGAATAGTTGTGATTTTATATTATAAATTTTTTGGAATATTTTTTTATTAATCATTTAAATTTTCAAGTAGATTTAACTTTTAAATACTGTTATTTGATTGCAATTCTAACAATTATTGAACTTATTAATAATATTTTACTGTCAATCTTGTTTAATATCTGATATATAGATATTTCAAAACTCTTTTTTATATAACTTTAATCTTTTTATCATATGCATTCATCTAAAAATAAGATTATTATTTCATAAATTTCATCAATTAAATAGTTTAAGTAAAGATTTTCTTTCTTTACTGAATTAGATTTTAGTTTTAATGAGTTCTTTTTCATTTTTATATTTTTTTGCATCAACAATTAACTTACTTTTTTTTGTTTATCCTTATTTTTTGATTTAGTTTATAATTATCATACCCTAAAGTATCATGCAGTTTTCGCAAAAGGATAATTTATTCTTTAAAATTTATATTTTTTTGTTATAGTTGTTTTAATTTTTATTTTAAATGAGAAATTTTTGGTATAAGTTAATCAATTAAGCATCTTTATTTTTAAGTTTGAAAATCTTCTTCTAAATATTCTAAAGCAACTCTTTAAGTATCAAGGAGGAGTGATTTATCTATTAAAATTTTTTTCCTTGAATAATTTAAAATTCTTCACAGGAAGGCTAATTTAGTTAATTATTACAAAGTTTTTTATTTATCTCTTGTATAATTTTACATTTAGTTGAGACACTATTATTACTATATAAGAACCTTTTTTACTTGAAGTTATTATTTATTTTATAATTTTCATTTAAGGCTTTCCTCTATAATATAATTTTAATCAGACTTTTATTAATGAGCTGTATAAATTATAGACATGAAGCATTATACTAACAAGTGGCTTGTTAGTATATCGGTAGTACGCTTGCTTTGGGTGCAAGTAGGTCGGGTTCAATTCCCGAACGAGCCCTACTTTTTATTTTTATTTAATTTTATGATATTAAATCTAATTATAAATTTAGAGTTTTTACATAAACTATTAATTAAAGAATTATTAAAATAAATGATGAATAAGCTGATTTTAAATATCTAGTTTTCTTAATAGGTAAAGTTCAAAATTGCATTTGATACTTCTGGATAAAAAACATTTGATTAATTAAAACAAATTTGTGTTCAAAGATTAGAAGCATTTTAGAAGGTACAAAAAAAAATTTTAAATAGATATCTCCTGAAAATTTAAAGGAAACATTACCAGATAATTTTGATCCATCTTAATATCATTTAACTGATTAGACAAACTTTATTTTGAGTGATTAAGATATAGTTGAAGATTTGTGTTCAAACAATGAATTAATTAATTTAGTTCTAAATTAATCTTTGTCATAGAGTGTTTAAGATCCATAAAAAATGATTAATACATCTATAGGAACTTCGATAAATGTTCAATAATCTTAAACAGTAGTTTAGCCATAAAAAGTTCAATCAACACAACCAGTCTAATAAAATTAAGAACCCTAAACAACTTCCTAAAATACAAAATCATAACCTCCTCCTTAGAGTGCAGTTTAACAGCCTACTTAACCTCTCTTAAAAAATTAATAGATAGCAGATGGATTTATGGATGAAGCTAAAAAGAATTAATTAAAATAGGATTTCTATTTAGATACATCATAATGGAATCAAACATAATAGATTTAAAGTGATATAGAAATTAGCATCAGATTCTTATAAGCTGAAGATTAGTTTATTACTTATACCTTAGGTTGTTAATTAGATGATACATTATTCAATTTATCCTGTAAGATTTGTAATTAACTTTAATTACCTTAATAATAATAAAATCATGTTATTTTGTATAGTCTAGCTGGCCTTCCTATAATTAGTAATTTAAATTAACTTCATTAAAAGACTGTAGATGATACCATCAATAAATTACAAAATAAAATATTTTATGCAATAATTACTAAATGCTCTGCAGGAGACAAATCATTTCCAAAAATTGATCCTGATGAAGGAAAGGAACAAATATTTATAATTCATTAAGGACCAAAAGTATTGAAAGTAGATATTGAAACAACTACGGTTTTATAATTGAAATAAAAAATATATCATAAACTTAACATTCCAACAAATGTTTAAAATTTAATTTATGGTGGTAAGTTATTGACTGATAACTTGATTCTAAAAGATTACAATATTTAAAATAATTCAAATTTAAATCTTTCATTTAAATTAAATCAATTTGTTAGTCATGCTGATAGTTTTAATTATAATTTTTATATGCCTTGGTTAAATCATTTTGTTAAATAAAGTGAAGAAGGAATACGATAATTTAGATGTAATATGCTAGTATTTTTTGCTAAAGAAGACCAATAAAAATTATCTCACACAATTAGATAATATTCTAAAAATAATGCTCCTCTTACTTTGGCTTCTGTTTGCTTGTTAAACAAATATAAATTAAACTAAAATGCTCGTATAGCTTTTGAAGAAGGATTTCTTAGATTATTTTTTGATTTAATTATCTCAAGTCCTTAAATACCTGTTACTTTTGATTTAAGTTCTATTTTTGAATATTCAAGATAATGGATTTAATTTTTATATGATTAAACAACTAATTTTAATCAAGTAGATGTTAAATTTGTAGAAACATATAAAAAAGTTGATTATACTTGTTGGGTTACTTTAAATCCTATAGAGACTCCAGCTTTTTTATCTTTAAATGAAAATGAAGAGGATAAATCACTCTATTAAATAGTTGATTATAATACTATAAAAACTAAATAAGAGACATAAGAAAAACATACTAATGGAAAACTATACTCTTAATTAAAATTAATTAAAGATCCAAATTTGGAAGAATAATTTAAAATTGTAAAATTTTTAGAAAAAGAAGATTTAATTTGGTTACCTTAAACTGAATTTAAAGATAAAAGAGATCTTAAAGCTTTACCTGCTGAGTGGCATAAGAATTCAGATATAAAATTATAAACTTTAAAGATTTATAGTTCTGTTGAATTAAAATTGCATCCAAGTGCTCCTGTTTTAACTAAGAATTCTCTCAAATAATTAGTAGTATACACATCAATGAATAAAGATGTAGCAAAACCTGTAAATTTATTTGATCCCTTATCTGGTAATGAATTATCTGATAATCCTGATTAAATTGCTTATAATCAAGTTTTACCAAATGTTTCTACAAATAAAAATAATACTAATTTATTGGATGAAGATGATGATTCATCAATTTAATTAGTGACTTAAATAACTGTCGAACCAGAAGAAGCTATTATTGTTTTGATAGATATATCTGGTTCAATGGAGGAAGATTTCTATAAAAATGAAGATTTAACAAGATTAGGTGCTGTTAAAGCATTTTTCAATGCTTTTGCAGATAGAACTATGGCTTACAATATGAAAAATGTGATATCCTTGGCATATTTTGATGATAGATATATATTGAAATGTGGTTTTACTGAATTATTCATGTAATTTAAGGATTTAGTTAATAAAGCAAAACCTCAAGGTATGACAGCTTTGTATGTGGCTCTCAAAAATGCTATTGATTCTCTTTTGATTTTTAAAAAGAAATATCCAAATTGTTTATTAAGAATAATTGCACTTACTGATGGAGAAGATAATAAAGGAAGATTTAGCCCAGAATTTATTGCAAAAACTATTGTAGAAAATTAAATCATTCTTGACTCTTTTGTTGTTTATGATAAATGTGATGGTTTAAAGTAAATTACAAAGGCAGCTGGAGGTTAATGCTTTTGCCCAAAAACTATCTAAGAAGGTTTGAAATTATTTGAATATGAAACCATTTTATCTGCTAAAATAAGAAAGCCATAAGAACCCTTAACTAATTTTAAGATTGAAGCTATTTTCAAATAAGATCCAAAAACAATCAAATTTGATGTTTAACCAAGAGAATTTGAATTACCTTTAGAATTAAAAAAATAATCTGTTAATCCTAAATAATTAGTTAGAAGAATTAGTTCTGATTCTTAATAACTTAATTTAATTGCTCCAAATAATAATTTAAAAAGAGTGATAAAAGAATTGATAACATATGAATAAAAACCTCATCCTTTTGTAAAAGTTTTCCCTTGTTCCCATGATGTTTCATTTTGGAAGATAATTTTAATTGGTCCAGAATAAACTCCATATTATGGTGGAATATATATTTTGTATATGAAATTTCCTTAAGAATATCCAGTTCAACCACCTGATCTAAGATTTCTGACTTCAATTTATCATTGTAATATAAATAGTCAAGGTAGAATCTGTCATAGTATTTTGGGTAGAAATTATACGCCTGACACAAGAGTTTTATAAATTTTTGAAGCTATCTATGGTATTAATAAAATAAATTTTTAGGTCTTCTAATGACTCCTGAACCAGATGATCCATTAGATACAACCATAGCTTCAGAATATATGCAAGATTTAAAAATGTATTAATAAAAAGCAACCAATCATACTCTTTAATATGCCAAAAGACCTATGGATGAAGTATTGAAAGAGATTCTAGGAACTGTAGGAGAGGAAATTGCTTTGAGTGACATTGAATTACAGGAAAAAATAAACGAAATTAATGTTTGGATAACAAATTCCAGTAAACCATAATGATTTATCAAATAAATAAATAAATAATTTTATTAAATATATATTTAACCTCTTTAAAGAGATTAAATTTACCGTTTTCTTGGTTTTAAATAAATTAGAATTAGAATATATAAATTTTCACTTGGATTTATTCTTAAATCTAATTAAAAATTTATAATTGCCATCCATCATGAAATATTAAATAATTTTTAATTATCCTAAAATATTTATTTATTAAATGGGGGTAGTATAAACTTGTATTAAGTAAAGGAACTCTGCTCCCCAAATTGAGTACAATGTTCCTACTATTATAAAAAGAAAATATGTTGGGAAACACCCTCATAAATAAAACATTTTGATTCCTCCACTTTCTTAATTGGGTGAATTTCATGAATCATTAGAACAATTAGAATTAGCCTTATAAGAAAATAACATTAATTTAAGTATTCACAAAACAGCTACTTTTAATAGTAGTAGTGCAAATCGTTAATCTATATCAATAGATCCTAGTCTAAACTTATCTTTGAATACTACTATTCCTAATACATTTCAACCATAAATCAAATAAAATTTATCATTATAATAGCCATAAAACTAGAAAGATGAAGAGCCAATTTAAAAAAAATAAACTTTTAAAGATTCTTAATTTAAAATGCGTGCAGAAGCTTAAGGAGAAAATTATGCTCGGAGTCTTAGTAGTAATTCAAGAGCTTAAAGAGCTTAAATTCCAAATAATGATGAGTCTTCAGTCTCATTACAAAAAGATTCTGAAACAAACACTAAAAAAAGCATTTTGAAAAATAAACAACAATTTATAAATAACAAACTAAAACGAGGAATAAGTTTAAGACAATAATAATAAGTAATTAATGACGATACTCAATCCTAAAGAACTTCAAAGAGTTAGAAACGAGTTAAATTTGATCCAAAAATATTTAGACCAAAAAATACTCACTTCTTTTAATGAAATTATAATCTTGTTTTTGTTTTTTTTTTATTTATTTTTCTTTTTAGTTTATAGATAAATATTGATATAATTAAATTTTATGAATAAAACTACATAATATAGTCATAATAGTAAAAAAAAAATCAAAGAGGCAACGTATTTTATTATTTTTATATGATAGATAGCAAATATCTCAATGCATTAGTACAAAGAATTATTAGTCTGTAAATAAATTGTATTCAAATTTATAACTTTAGATTGGAAGAAAAGAAGAGAAGTGCATCTTTAACTAATTCATTGTGTTAAAACATTTCTAAAACTATGCCAAAAGAAAATAAAAAGTGTTTTTAAGTTAATTTAGATTTTCTTGATACTTTAACAATAGAAAATCCAACTGTTTAAGAACTATTAAAATAACTTAATATAGATGATTAAAACATTGACTTAAAATAAATAATTAGAGAGAATCAAGAATATTTTCATCATCTAAAAAGTAAATTATATTTTAATTAAGAAAATTGTGCTTGTTTCAAATGTGAATGTTGTAATTGCAAATGCAATTATGCAAACAATGCAAAATTAGTTTATAGATCAGGATATAATACTTCCTATTAGAAAAGTTATTAATTTGGATTGTCATCTTCTACTTTTTATACTCCAGAATTGAATTAAAGATATTATGAATAAAAACCAATTTAGATTCCATATTTAGAGATATAATCTTAATAGCGAAAGATCTTTACTGCCCATCCTATTTAATAAAGATACAAACGATAATACAAAAAGAGTTCAGCTTCAAATTAATTTTTGTCTACAACAACATATTAAGTATAAAGAAAGAACAAGAATTATAGAACATGTATCCTGATTGGAAAGATTAAGATCCAATAAGAAAGATTGATGCACCCAAACATATAAGTACTCATTCTGGAATCCCCATCTTAACAGTTACCAGTTATACCAAAGATTATGCAAAAGTTCGTCCAAAAACTTCCAATCTCTCGGCCTCTGATATTAAATAAATGCAATATCAGTAATCTTTTTATAATTTAAATAGTTAAACATATGCTCAAATCACTCCTAATTATTTTGAAACAACTTATAATTCTGATTTTAAAAAGTAACAACAGAATAATTTTGTTGTTTCTAAAACAGAACCAAATATTGAAGTGTATGTTCCTTTAAGAGGCTTATCTTATGACACTGTCACTAAAAGGGCTTTTCAAAATGGACAAATCATTACTGAATGTTAAGGAACCAAAATGAAAAAAATATTAAAATTAAGAAATCAAAGTGCATCCATGCTCAATGCATATCTCAATGAAATATATCAAAAATAATGAAAGTCAATCTATTGAATAGATTTATTATTTATTTATTATTTTTCAATCCATTAATTTATAATTTAATAAAAAATAATTTTAGAATTAATTACATATATCTACCTTCATTTTATCAACATTTCGATATCATTTATTCACTTATTTAACGAAATGTGTCTAAATGAGGCTCTTCAGTCTGGTATTATTTTTCTGGCTTATAATCATTCGAGGATTTCTTAAAAAATTTTTAATTTGTTATCAAATTATCTGAAGGATGTAATGATATTATTGGAATTAAATGAAAATCTTCCAAAGACCTAAATAAATAAAATGTAAGTGTATTCTATTTTTAAACTGCATTTTATTTAAATTAAATTTATTTATAAGGTCCAATTTATCTAATAATCATCAAAGCTATAGGAATTTCTAAGTTTAATTATTAATAACTATTATGACGTAATTCTTCTAAACTTTGAGGATTTAAAATTGGTAATTTACTAATTTTTTCAGCTGTGAAAATTTGACCTGAGTAAATTATATCAAATTTTATAAACTTTTAATTTAAATCATCATCACTTATTTCATCCTTCAGTTCAATTATAATCTATTCTGTATTTTAAAAAACAAAGAATAAGCAATTAAAAATTAATTACTTAAGCTTTTTTTAATCAGTGTGAATACGATTATCAATCAAATGAGATATTATTTAGAATTTTTTTTATTCCTTTTCTGGAAAAAGTAGATTTATAATTTATATACATTCTTAAATACAATTCTTTAAATCAAAATTATTTAGTACTATTCTGGTAAATTTTGAATTCAAATTTGCAAAATCTTGAATATTATTTATATCAGTGTATGTTTTTGTAATTTAACTATTTAAAAATGAAATTATTTTGTATTTATAAATTTCTTATGTAATCTTTTTTTATAGCATCTTCTATTATAACATTTATTTTATATATATTAAGCACACTCTAATTCTAGATTAGATGCTCTCTTAGACTTAATTTAATAATTTATTTGAGATTTTAAGTTTATACTTTAGGGATTTATATTATGACTCTCTTTTATTTTCCTTGATTAAAATAATTAAACAAGGCTTAGTATCTATAGTACGTATTATTTTAATATGATGCACATCTAATCCAATTAATCCTATTATTTCATAAGTTTAATCATCAGCGGTACAATTTTTAGTTATTTCTTACATTTTTTCATGATCCATAAATAAATAGAATAAAAATTATTCTAGATTAATTTTATTAGTTTAATTAAGCATATATGATGATTGTAAAATAGATTTTCTTCTTCTTTTGCTGAACAAGATTACTTTCATACTTCTTATAAAATTGATAAAACTATGCTATTTGTTTTCAGAAATCTAAGTGAAACTATTTTACCTTATTAAATCGAATGAATTATTCCTCAAGTTATAGTGAACAACATAAGATTAAATATCAATTTATTTATATAAATTTTCCTCAATTATTCCTTTATTATTCATCAAGATAAAAGAGATTCTAGTTTACCTTTCATGAGTATAATAACTGTATATTGCTAAAATGCTAGAGAAAATAAATATTAAGATTTCTCTCCAATCATCAGATACTAAACAAATAGATATAATATTAAGAAATAGTATTATAATTGTTATGAAAGTTTTCATTAAATAACTCCATTGGGAGATAATTCTAATATATTTTATAATTTTACGCTAAAGTTCCTAAACAAAGGAAGTAATTTTCTAGTACTTCTTTATCATTAGTATGATTTAAAATACCATATTTAATTGGATGTTAAACATTGTAAATTAAAATGGCTATAAAAGTTAACGTATTATTTAGATTAGTCAATTATTATTTAAAAATATATCCAAACAACATGATCAATAGTGCAAACAAATTTAAAATGGTTTCAACCCATTTTTTTTGCATTATATCTCCCAGAATTTCTAATAAAATTAAAAGTATGAGAAAAATTCTATATACAGTTTAGCTCTATAACTAAAGACTTTTTCTTTATAAGGAATATCTATGTTCAAACTCTGAATTATTGAATCTTAATGTTATATAATTCATTAATAAATTAAATTTATTCAAAAAAAAGATCAGTGATTATTTTATTTCAAGTATTTTAAGTATGAACTTTAAAGTTTCTAAAATTCTTAAATTAATACATCAATTTTCTATTTCGCTATTTCTTTCGTTTTAAAAGACATCATACAATAATTTGAGGAGTAAGATAATTGTCTATAATAATGTGAAGAAATAATTTATACCACATAGACTTCCATAATTTTTAAATTCAATATTGCTAACTAATATTTTTATTTTATTTGAAATTACTCTAAAAATCTATGACTTTTTTATGAATAAAATGATACTTATATTGACCTCTGAATCCTTTCTTATGAAAATTGTTATTTTATATTATTCAAAGAGAATTATTGACAAATTTTAGGAATTACGTCAATATTGTCTAGAAGCCCATGTTAAAAACAAGTAATTCTGCTAAACTCACTTAAAATATTAATTATTTTTTAGGATTTTTTTTATATTAAAAATTTCTAAGTTTTAGTAATTAACTTACTCCTCAGATTAATTACTATAGGAATAGAATTAAAAGTTTGGATAAAAATGTATACCAATCAATCTTTGGTCATAAAATATATTTTGCTAAAGGCATATAGATTTTAATATTAATAAAAAAAAAGTAATATGCTTGTAAAAATATGATTAATTAGCAATTCTTGATTTGTTAGTGATTTAATCTGAATACATTTTAAACCAAATATTTTGTTTAATAGCTATAACAAAGCATCCTAAAACTTTAAGTTAACTAAAAATCAAGTCATTTGATCTTCAGATATAATGTTCATGTAGTAATTTTTCAATTTACACAAGAGAAAAATAAATTCTACTTTTTATTTTTCCAACTTCTAATATGTTAACAAATTTATTGAATCCATAATTGCAATATATTTAAATAGATATTCAATAACGTTCTTCAGGTACTTATTTTTGAGATAGTAATAACATAAATTAATTTTTTGTTTGAATATAAAGATTTTATATATTATTTTTCATCAATTATTTCAGAGTATAATTTAAGATTTTATTAATTCATAAGTTAAAATAAATAATTCGCGGTATTATGAAGTAAACAACACTTACAAGATTCTTAACTTAATCATAGAAAAAGAATGAAACAGCGAGCTTAAATAAAAATAAAGCGTCAAATTCGGATACTTTAGTAGAAGAAAAAAAGATTGAAATTTAATATATCAAACCGGCTGCTACAATAATTAAAGAAGAAGAAATAAAAGTAATAAAATAAAAATAAAATGAATATATACAAGAAAAGCCATAAGAATTAAGCAGATTAAAAAGAAATAACATTGTAGATAGTGATGAAGAATAAGAAAAAATAAAGATTGATTGTGATTAGTTTAAAATTGATAAATTTTCTTTTGTAGGTTCTTAAGAGAAAAATAAAGAGAAAAAATCTTTAGCTGTTTTTGTAAAAGAAGATAATAAAAAGAATAATACTAAAACATCCTAAAAAGGGAAAAAATCTGAATATGATAAATCCGGGAAAACTTTAAAATAATCAGCAAAATTAGAAGAGGAAGAAATTGATAATTCTTAAGAAAATAAATAAGGTAATTTAGATTTCAAGCATCCAACAGATAAAATAAATGTTTATGAAGAGTTTGATGATGTGACTCCAAAATGGGCATCTATCGGTTAATCAAGAGATAAAAATGGAATACTTCATGGAACTTAAGATGCAGATCCAACTACTCTTTTAATACCTTAAATTGAATTTAATAAATTAACTAAATGTATGCAATAGTTTTGGAAATATAAGAGTGAGAATTTTGATAAGATCATATTTTTTAAATTGGGAAAATTTTATGAGTTATTTTATGAAGATGCATATATTGGAAATAAATATTTAGATTTGAATTGGATGGGAAGAAAGATGTAATAAATTTTATTATTATTTTAGGCATACAGGATTTCCAGAAAAGGCAGTACATAAATATAAGGCACTTTTATTAGATTTTGGATATAAAGTTGTAATAGTAGATTAAACAGAGACACCAGAATAGATGAATTAAAGAGTAACTTAAAATAAGAAAGCTGGAACTGGTAATACAGATAAAATAGTTCAAAGATCAATAAGTGAAATTTTAACTAAAGGAACATATTTATATGAAGAAGGAGAATCATAAATGAATCTTGATGAAAAGGTTTTACTTGTTATAAGAAAAAAAATAATATCTAATACAATAGAGGAATATGGGATTGCCATATTTGAAAGATAAACAAATATAATATCTCTTGCATTTATTGAAAACAGTGATAAAAATTATGAAACTCTGAAAACCTTATTACTTCATATGAGACCAGTTGAAACAGTAATTGATTAACATAATCTACCTTCTCATGATCCAATAACTAAAATGATATCTGGATCTGTATTAAAAAGTGTTATTTCACATTTAACAGCTTCAAATGATAATTGGGATGAAAAAAAAGCATTATTTAGACTTGAACAATTCTATAAAGATAAATTTCCTACGGCTATTAATTTTTATAAAAATAATTAAGTTGTACTTTAAGCTTTAAATGGATTGTTTTCTTATTTAAATTAAATTTTAATTTTAGATCGTGTTTTGGGATGTGCAAGATTCAAATTATATGATGAAGAATTCTCACTTTAATAATGTATGATTTTAGATAGTTAAGCTATAGTAAATATTATTTTTATTATTTTAGTATCATTTAGAAATTCTATAAACATAAACAAGCGCAGATAAAAAAGATTACTCTTTATTTGGTGTTATTAATAAAACTGTCACTCCAGGTGGTCATCGTTTATTAAGAAAATGGATTTGTGCACCTCTATTTTAAATGGACCAAATTAAAGAAAGATAAACTATGATTTGTGATATCAGCAAATTTAGAAAGGAAAGAGATTTATTTAGATAAAGTATTAAACTATTCCCTGATTTTGAAAGAAGATGTAGTAGAATTTATGAATATTCAATCAAAACAGAAAGTAAAGCAGTATTTTATGAAAATTTATCTGAATAACGTCTTAAAGAATTTAAAACTCTAACAAAAGCATTAAGACTTGCTTAAGAGGAAATAACATTATTTGGTTAATTTTAAATAAACTTTAGAAGTGAAAAATTAAAAAAAATGTTGACTTTTGAAGCTGATGGTGGCTTACTTCCTAATGTTAAAGAATAATTAGATGAGTTTGAATAATATATTATATGGGAAAAAGAAAAAGATAAAGAAATTCCTAAACCTGTTACAGGTGTAATAGAAAGTTATGATTAATCTGTTGCAGAAGTTTAATTAGTTGAATAAAAACTTGATGATTATCTTTTAAAAATTAAAAAAATGTTTAATAAAAACAATAAAGACATTCAATATGTACATACAAAATTTAGATATGAAATTGAAATTCCTGATGAATTAGTTTAAAAGTCTAAACCTGAAGATTTTGAATTCACTTCTTCAAGATAAGGATACAAAAGATATATAAATTAAGATATTAAAGACTTAGTATCTGAATTAGAATAGGCAGAAGAATTAAAAAAGTAATAATTAACTGTCTTTGGTAATTTTATATTCAAGCATTTTTAATAGAATCAATATGTTTGGGATTCTCTTATTAAAATAATAAATGAATTAGATGCTTTATGTTCTTTGAGTGTTTTTGGAGATACATCAGAAGGAAAAATGACATTACCTAAATTTACAAATGAAAAAATTAAATTAGTTATTAAAGAAGGAAAACATCCATGTTTAACTAACATTAATTTTGTTTCTAATTCTATAGATATGGGGGATAAACTTTGTAAATTTTAATTATTGACTGGCCCTAATATGGGAGGTAAAAGCACAACTTTAAGAATGGTTTGTGTACTTGCCATTTTAGCTTAACTTGGATGTTTAGTTCCTTGTGAAGAAATGGAACTTTCTCCTATTGATAGAATATTTACAAGAATTGGAGCCAAAGATTATTTAATGGAAGGAAAATCTACATTTTATGTTGAATTAGAAGAAACATTAATACCATTAAAATATGGAACCAAAAATTCATTATTTATTACTGATGAACTTGGAAGAGGAACATCAACATATGATGGAGTAGCTATAGCATCTGCTGTTATGAATTATCTAATTAAAAAAATATAGTGTAGAGTGTTATTTGCAACTCATTTTAGAATATTAGTTGAAGAAGCCAAATTAATTAGTGATGTAACAAATGTTCATATGGCTTGCTATATTTAAGATGGCAAAGTCATTTTTCTTTATAGATTAAAGGAGGGAGCATGTGAAGCCTCTTTTGGAATAAATGTTGCTAAAGTAGTAGGAATTGAACATTCCATAATATCCAAAGCTGAAGAAATGGCAAACTTTTTTGAAAATAAAGTTCAAAAAAATACTGAACAAACTTTACAAAAATTTAATTAAATAATAAAAGAATATGAGATTATTTGATTATTTGATTTATTTGATATTTTAGATATTTTTATATTATAACATATTAATCTAATTTCTTTGAATTTACAACGGTGTAATTAAATAACAAGTATTTCTTTACAAAAATACTAATATTTCTAAAATAACATAATTGTCTATATAAATTGAATTAATTATTTTATTTTTTGACTCATAAGTTTCTAAAATTTCCTGTGTTTTTTTGTATAAGCTAGTTTTCTATTTTCATTAAATATGTATCTAAATTTAAAATAAAAATATTTAGTTAATTATAAATCATCTAAATAGTCCTCCTTTTTTCTTTTGATTCATTTAGTTTACTATAGCTTAGAGTTTTTATCTTTCTTAATCTGTAAGTTCAAGCATGTTAGCTATAATTTTAAAGTAACCTTCCGTTTCCTAAGCCCTTAAAAATTTAAAATAATATTTACTAATTTTATAGTGAAGTAAGAAAAGATTAAAGTAATTATTTTATTTGTAATTTTAAAGATTTTGTATCTGTTTAATCTATTATTTATTATAGTCTATAATTTTCCCTTTTTAAATCAGATATCATTTTAACCATTTTTTTTTCTTCTTCCTAATAATCAATTAAATTGTTTTTGTACTTCTCTATTTCCATTTTATGATATTCTATTTCTTATTATAAATCATAAAATTTTGTATTATTATTTTCATTTTATTATTATAATTATTATGCTAGTTAATTTTAAAAATCTTTTATTTATAAACTACTTTTTGTATGTCCACTTTATACAGTAGGATCTATTATTGTAGCATTATTAATGGAGCTATGCTCAAATTTTCTTATCTCTTAGTTATCTATTGAACTTAGGTCAAGACTTATACCACTTTCATTAAATTTTTATTCTTACAATTACTTTAAATTTTTAATTTATAATAGTAGATTTTGATTTTCAAGAGAAGCTTTCTCAAATTATTCATTTTTCTATTTTAGTTCTTACTATAATTAATCCCTTTCTTATGTTGCATTATTAAATAAAACTTTAAAATGAGCCATCAGATCAGGATTATCATTATTAATTGTCAAAGTTTATGAAAACATTTCATCATATTATTATTATTATAATAGTAATTATCTTTTTAACCTTTATATTTCTTGTTCATTAACTGATTCTTTTTCTTCAATTTTCTCTTACAAATTCTAAATTTTTTTTTAAAGTTTCTTTAATTATTCAATACAAAAATCTTTTGTATTTTTAATCGTATCTCCAATTTCTCTACTAATTATTGGGTAATCTTTAATAATTTTCTGCATTGATTCCATTTTATTATTTTATTTTT